AAATGCACAGAAGTCTAAATGGAAAGCCTGCTTACTCTGGTTCTTTTAAAAAGTTCACTGGCTCCAAGGGACATGCCAACAGTTCATAAATAAATTGCTGTTATCATAATATGCACTTTAATGCACATAGTAATGGTATCTTTATTTTGGGCTAAAAAAGTCTTCAACTGAGTAGTTTTTATCCTGGAACATGAATGCAATGCCACTTAATTCTTAACCTAGTTTTTAGCAATTTAAAGACATCTAGTAAATAATAAAAATTTAATACAACTAACCAGAATTCTATCTCAATACACAGAAAGAACTTCATTCTTGCTGCTTTAAATGCATTTCTGGAGTTTGAAATTCCAGTTAATGGTCAGGTTCTACAAGTATTTACCGCTAAGGCTAATTCTTTTATATATAATTTATACCTGAACATGTAATTTAAAAATCTCTTACCAAATCTTTGATGAACCAAGTCTATAAAACAAATAAAAATCGTTTCACCTAAAGTTTCCATAAAATATTCAAAGAATTCTTCCTAAAGAATCAAGACTAAGCGAACCTACAAAACCCACTATTACAGCGAATTTTACTTTTAAACTTTATTCAGAGAGATGCCCAGGTAAACCCTTCTACCTACAATCCACATCTCTCTTGAAGTTAACATATTTCACTCAATAAGAAACATCTAAAATATGGCCAACTACCTGACAACTGTTACTGCTAAAATACTCCAATAGCATAGGGAAAAAAAAAAAACCACACCTTTTTGTCAGGGTACAGTAGGAAAACATAATACAGCCTTTTCTTCATACTTAAATTCATTACTTGCGACTGAATAATGAAATCATCATTGCTAAACTAGGATTATTTTTTTTAAACCGGAAATCCTTGCCAAGGGTTTCCCAATCAGACCATGAGCATAACCACAGCATTTTAACAAGTTTACCAGGACCGAATTAAAATTTCCAGCATCGGGGATCTCAGATTTCCCAAGGTTCTTCCAAGTGATTCATTCCACTATCAACCAAGTTTTGGGGAGTCACGGTTCCTTAACAAAGTGCTATTAACAAAAGGAGTTGTTTTCTAACTCTTGTTTGCATAGTAATGGGTGCCTAATGCTGTATTGTTATTCTTTTAAAGTTAACTTAATATTTATAGTTAAGTGAAAACTCCTACGCTCTTTTCTACTCATCCCGTAATCTTAAGAAATAAATCACTTTGCACATACTGACCTGAGTTTTCCTCCATCAAATGCCAACTGAGAAAATGTATGGTACCAAGTAAAAATGCACGGGGACAAGTTCAAATAATCTTCCCTTTGTTTATGAGCCATGATTAGACAACAGCTGTAATACCCGTTAGGACGTCTCACTTTAAACAAAAATATCTCCTCTGACAGTGTAAAGGTTTTGGTCAATGATTTAGCTTACTAATCTCTTCACACTGAACAGAAAAAAAGAGAAAAAAAGACTCGCTAGGATATGGGAAAGGAAAGCGAAAAAAATGTAAAAACTGGCAGGTTTTCGATTTGAAGGTTTCCGATTAGCGCCTTTTACTTTCTCCAAAAGTAGAAGCCGCTCCTGAGAGGAATACCCTTCCGAGGGATGGGCAAAGGAATACACGCTGCAGGGTGTGGACGGCTAGAAGGAAGGGCGCAGAGGACTGCCAGAGGCGAAATCGGTCGGGAAGAGGCCGCCCACCGGAAAGTCCCAGCCGGAGCTCCGCTCCCTTCCCCTTTCTACCCCCGCCCCCCTAAAGCTGCTGGCTCGCTAGACTAAAAGGAAGCACCCTGGTTGCGCACGCAGCCCAACGTCACTGCGTTCGCTCCACCCAGGAGCGAGGCGACGCGCCTGACGTAGCGGGGCGGGGCCTGCCGGAGGCCGCCGCTGTTGACCCGCTGTTACCAAGCGTGCGCACAGCCAATCAGCAGCAGGCGCCGGCGCCGGCGCCGGCCGGCCTTTGAACTCGGCACGGCAACTTCCTGCTGTTTGGCGAGTACACAGTGCAATGCAGTATGTCTGTCAGCGCTGCGGCACAAAGGAACAGCCATTTTGTGACTGAGCTGGACCTGCACCAAGATGCCAGGGGCTCACAGAGCTGCTGCCTGCGCTAACTACCGAGCTGCCCTTTATTTTACCACCAGAGAGCCAAAAATGGGGAGGCTGGCGGGGGGGGGCGGGGGGAGTAGTTTTGATATTTCAAGTTTCCATTCGATTTTCAATCTTCTCAAAAGTCCCGATTCTTAAGAATTATCAGCATCATAAAATGGCTGCCACTTAAAAACTGCCTGTTCAGTCCACAAGCAACTGCATTATGCCATTTCTAATTTGCCCCAAGCTTTCAGAATAACTGCTAAAAGCTGATTAAAAAGCAGATGATTTTGCCCACACCGCAGGTTGTCAAAATAATCTGGCTCAAAGGCAGACGATTTAAGAGATAAATTTAATATACTGTCTCAGTTCTTTCGGTAAAATTGCAAACGCAGCGTCCTCTAGAACACACAGAACTCTTTGTGTGCACACAGTTCCATTCACATTCCCTTCTCTCCTGTCTCCATTCTTTAGTATTACTGAAGTTACCCCCAAACTGCCAATTACTTAGGTAAGAAGTGTGTGGCATAAGGTTCTATATATGTCCTTCACTAAAACTTTGTTTTAAATATTTAGAAACTTTACAGATATATCAAGAATTTTAAAATCATATTTTTGAAAGTGAACTTTTTAATCTTCAGAAATCAGGGTATACAACATATAACATTTAAAGCATTAACAAAAGAATACAGGAATAACAAACTTTATATAATAACTATAAAGTCATTTGCTTTATTTCCAAAAACAGTAAAGTATCAGGTTTACCTAAACTTGCACTCAAGCCTTTCAGATCCTTAAACTAATTCTCAGAACAGAGTTTACTTGACCTGCAAACACTCCTCCCTTCCTCTCTTGTGGCTCGGGCTGCAAAAGTGGTTTTTGTAGTATTCCCTAAACACTAGATTTTGTGCCATAGAAACTAGGTCCTTTACAAAGAAATTCTGATAGATTAAGGAACAAGTACTAGTACCTGAAGTCTCCTGAACTTTAGCTTCCTAAAAATAACAATCTACCACAATAAACACCACTAGCATGCCATTAAGCTGTCCAATTTTAAAAGGAAGTGATGTCATAATTATGTACATGTATTAAGGTATGCAATTTCAGATAACTAATTTAAAACTCCATCTTCAAGGAGTCTCTCAGTTTTTTTGAACGTTCATCAGGTATGTGAAACTACTTAACAAAAGGCATTTAAAAGTACAGTACATGCTTCCTTGTTAAGCTGTAATCCCACTGCCAATAAGTAAATGCATGACAACTTCCAAATAGTTTTCTAGGTGAGTAAATGATTTAAAAAAAAAAAAAAAGCAACACTGCTTAATTTTTGAAATTAGAAGGCAGTCTCATCAATGATGTTAACCACAAACCTTGCATAAGAAAGCCAAAACTTAGGTGAGACTATGCAAATCATACATACTCAAGGGAGTAACAATTTTAGGTACTGAATCTTTAATAATTTGTCAAATACACCTGGGGATTCCTATTTCTTCAAACTGACGTTACTTTTCAGAAAAATCAGCTTAGGATTAGTGAAGAAGTTTTCTGTCCTAAATCAAACCTAGATAATTACATGGGCAATTCAGTTCAAAAGACAGCAGTCCAAACTGTATGACAACTCAATTTACAAAAGAATTTGGAAAGGTATTTTTAAAAGGGTTGAGATATATTAAGTATAATAAAATAAATTTCAACATTTGTTAATAAACCAGTTCAAAACTTTCAAATTCAATTAACCTAATAATAAAGTATATTACTTCTATAAAATTATAAAAAGTAAAAGCAAAACTGGGGAGGGAAACTCACATAACCAATCACATCCTTAACTGTAGGATGTAAAATTCATAACAATTTATAAGAACACACATCAAGAAATGCATTCATATGTACTTTTAAAAAATTAATATACAGATCATACAACAAAACGTCTAAGAGGCTTTATTACTTAGTCACTAATAAGATACTCCAACAAATGTGAAACAAATCATGATCTAAACAAACAGTATATTTGTAAGCTTCAGAAGATAAAGCATTCCAGGCGACTCTGTCAAAATAAATCAATAAATTTAAAGCTGCTACAACTAAAATGCAAGAATAAGATACTACACATCTACCAACCAGAAAGCACTGTCTGAATATAAGCATATAAATGCAAACCTTAAAATATTTTAAATGCAAAATATACAATATAATCACAGTAACAAACACAAAAGAGAAGTATATCAAGAGTATTCCAGTATTTCTGTGATCACAGGTTTGATTTCATAAATGCAGGAACTGTAACCATGGTATAAAGGTTTTGATAAATCTTATCAAAATTTCCTAAAATGTCAAGAGTATCAAAAGAAATACAGAGTCAAGTAAAAACATAAACTGAGAGGCATCAGTCAAAGGGTCCTTTTTGCAATTTCATTTAAAAATGTACATTTTTTCATTCATATAACTTTCTCAAACGTCTATTTACTATAATTTACTACCACAAGGCTCCTCTATGGCCTTCAGTTACAAGTTTGGGTATCCTAGATTCTTCAAAGAAAAAATTTGCCTTGTATGTAAAATGGTGCAATGCAGCAATGGCTAAACCGACAAGGTCATTTTTCTACAGCACAAAAACCTAAAAACTGAAATTTATTAACGGAAAAACTGTAGTTTACAGGAAAGGCCCCTTTGAATAAAGGTACCTTACCTTTTGACTGCTGTAAGAGGCCTTAAGTCACAACTCAACTTTCATAAATTGCTACCAAAAAATTAGGGTGTGGCATATTAGCAATCTCAAGGTCACGCTTTAAAAAAACGAATCCAAATTAGTAAAATACTTAAAATAATACAGACAGCTTTCCCTGTCTGTCAAGGTAAACAATGTAAGCTGAGGTTTCCCCCCCAAAAAAAAAAGAAAAAAGGAAGAAAGTTGATAGCTCATACCTCGATGCATTGCTGTGTAGCGAACTGTCCTCCTCTTGGCTTTTGTCCTTATTTCTCATCATCTTTTAATTCTTAAATATTTAGGGGGAGGGGGAATCTGTGTTTGCTTTGAAGTCCTGTGCCCAGGTATTTACTGTCAAAAGTTGAAAGAAAGGTAAGGTCCCAGCTTCTATCGATGGTTTTTATTATCAGGAACAAAGTCCTGACGATGTAACGATATTGTTATAATACAACAGCGGTAGGCACCAAGAAACAAAATATTTCTATTTTTTCCTTAAAAAAAAACAAAAACGGATAAACCGAACAGGGGGAATCATCACTATCAATAAGGAAAGTTTCTCAAAGTAACACACTGGATACAAATAACAATCTCTGTATCTTATTGCGTCATCCAGGAATTTCTCATATTTACAGAAAATAAAGCAAACTTATACATATAAATCTTTAAAATAATCACTAACGATCATGGACTTACCTGATCCATGTAGTAGGTCCAAAGCGAGAGTCCTATTCTAGTAGTAGAAAAATACCAGATCCCAAATAATTAAAAATAAAAACAAAATTCTCCGTTACAAAAACGAAAAATAAATACAACAATCCTCTAATATGTTAACTGGTCAAAAAAATAAAGCAACAATTAATACTAAAACGGGTCCGGAAGAAAAAAAACCTCATTAGGAGAGCGCACAAAAATGGAGGTGCGCCATGGCTTCTAAGCTGGAAAAAACAACGACCTGGGCTCTCAGTACGGCTGCTTCTTTCCAACAAGGCACGAAAAGAAAGCTCCTAAAAGCTGCTTTTCTCCCTTAAAAAGGCTCGAATCGACCCCAGTAAGTCACTAGGAGAGGCAGGGGGCTGCGGGGGCCCCCTGAGGCTGCCCGAAAGTTAGGGAAAGTTGCGTAAAGTGAGGCGAAGGCAGGGAGCAGAGCGCGCTCTCTCTAAGGCACAGCCGCCATCTAGAGCCTCCTTCCCAGCTCTGAGAGCTCTGCCTTTGATTGACACTCTCTACATTTACCCCACAACTCAGGTGATGTACCATAGACCCACCCCTTCATCTCCACCAAAAAAAAAAAAAAAAGAAAAGAAAGAAAAAAAAAGATCCTCCATCCCAGGGAGCCTGAGGACCCCTACCCCCACACCTCCCTGCCCCTCCAGACCACCCCATCAAGGGGAGGAGGGAGGGTTTCTTAACCCCCTCTGGCTCAAGCACCCTTTTTAAGCCAGAGAGAAATGTAATTTGTTCCTTTTGTCTAAAGATCTGCTAAATATTTCAGTCCTTGAGCTAAAATAACTTCCTCTCTGGACAGGAAGTGGTGTTTTATCAAGCCATTTTGAAAGAGGGATAATTCTTAGAGAATATAAAGCTAAACTTAAGTATTAACCTTTTATAAAATTAACCCCCCATGGGTAAAATGGTTTCTAAATAAAAGCAAAACCTCAATTTCATAAATTAAATTCAAGTCTTGCCTTCTTTATGAAGACTAAAAATTATCTAAAGACAAAGTTTAAGGGGGAATTTTCCATCCCAACTGGGAAAAAAGGGGTACAACTCAACAGCGCCTCCCTAGTGTTCAGTTGCATTAGAGCAAAAATTAATGCAACTAGCTTTTATCCAAGAATCTCAATTTTTCTTTAAACCTTAATAGAACTCTTTAACCCATTATATATAACCTTGCAAACTTCACCAAAAAATCCTCACAACCACAATGTATTTACTTCACACGGAGTCAGGCAAAACAAAGATCTTAAATTCAAGAGCATGGAACTACTATGGGCACCCTTAAATAACACACCCAAGAAACACCACCTCCAAACCAACAAAACACGTATATCCCAACCATTCCCTTTTATTTCAAATTCTAAATACATACACCCATTTCGAGAATGGCAAATTAATAACAATTGGTCCTATCTGATGGCAAGTTATCAAAATAATGTCATAGGGCAAATTCTCCTAAATACCAAAACCATGAGATCTTTGGAAACAAAATGACTACTAATGCCAAAAACAAATAATTTAACACATTTCTCTCAACAAGCACCCCAGAAAACATTCACACACCCAAAAAAATCAACTTTCCTCACTTAACATTATAATATGCCAGTACAATATCCTCCCCTCACTGAAGAAATCCATTTTAGGTTTATACCTAACAAAAGCAACAATGTTGCAACTAGGTAGTAAAAATCCATAATCAAAACCTAGTTTCAATTCTGTACTTTCTACAAAACAAATTTTCTACCAAAATCAAAATCCAAAATTCCACTTTTGATTTATACGGACCAACCACGTCAAATCAGTCAATGAGAACAAATATTGCATATGTATTGATCAGACATGTGTGCACTATGGTATTTGACAATCACACAAAAGGATTATTTCTCACCAAAAGAAAAAAAAATTCAAGCTGAACTCTTCCTTGTTATCTGTATAATGGGAAAATATAATCAACAAGTCATTTGGTCCATCAAAATGAAGCCTACCCCACCTTTGTAAGTTACTAAAACTGGTATTAATCAATTATCAATAAAGGGAACAGCAGCATTCACCTAGAATTCAAACAATAATCTATGACATGGCATGATTTATTTATTCTAAATTCCTGAACAGATTAAGAAAAATACAAAAGTCCTATTTCATATTTATTTAAAAAGTATTATAGACATGATTGCCACCAAAATTTTAAGTCCTTTTATGAATACCCTAAGGACACTTCCATATAAATCTAACCTCTTCCCCTGATGTTAACCATTAAAACAACAGGAGGCATCAATTTAAATGTTCAGATGAATATTCTACTATAGACATAATATTAAAAAGCACAGATAAAAAAGACCTTTTCCATCAACACAAAATAACCCGTAACAATATTTTATAACTCATCCTGAATTTTGAGGCAAAAGGTATTTTGTTTTATAGGCTCATTACAATCTCATGGCAAATTAAAGTTCCTATTATTACCCCTTGGTAAGTTATTTTGCAAGATGTTTCAAGAAAGCACAAAATAGCATTTCATTCAAACAACCATCTCTTAATGCACAAATAAATTTCCACAACTTTGTGAAAAAAGACAAATCTTATTCAACCAAGTAAAACATCTTCCAGCACACCATTTCCATTTTACCAGCTTTATTCAGTACACTTTACTGCTGGGGAACTGTAAAGGTCAAAGTGTTAAGGCAGTAATTGAACATTTAATGAAACTTCAGCTTAAAAAAAAAAAAAAAGCCCAAACTGAGAAATTTTAAAGTGTTAGAAATTTTATTAAAGTTAACATTCCACAAAATCATACTCATACAAGTCAAACTGCAAAAACTTCCAGGCATACAAACTAACATCTGTGTTAATGTGCCATCTTTCTTCTCCAAATGTCAAAAATGTACTTGTTTTAGTAATACAAAAAGTCTTTAGAAAGTCAAATCCACTGTCCATTTGTGCTGGGTAAGAAACCTATGTCTTCATTTCATGAAATCCATGTTAAAAGAACCCTGTCTTGGTTGTTTATTATCACAGCACTCTTGTATTAATCCATTTTCCTCAATTCCCCATAGTGGACTGCCATCTTGTTTTCTCAGTGGTAGGGTCCATTTGAGACTCTTCAAGCTGACTGGGTGCTTGATGAAAACATTAAAAGAAAAAAATGCTGTTGGAATACCAATAATCTTATTCCTTCATACAGAGAACATCCACCCACCTTGAAGATACTCTTACCATACACAAAGTTTTAATTTTGTAACAGCTTTAAACTATGAAACTGTAGTATATTAAAACTGTATGTACTGCACACTTCTCAAGGAGAGCATCATGGCAAGACCGCAAACTCGTAACAAAGTTCTTCTACTGTCACAGATACATATGTAACTATAGAAAAGTGGCAGTGAATAGTCAAATTTTACATACTTAATGTTGTTACACTGTCAATATGGTAAGTAAAAACAAAAATTCAAATTCAAAATCCTGGAAAGCTAAATTACACCAACACTATGGATTCTAAATCTCAATGCAGAAAACTTTCCAAGCTTCTTCAAATAAAACTAATTATGGAAAAGAATTTTGAGATTAAGGGAAAAAAAAAACACCAAAGCAGTGGATAACAGCATAGTTTTCCAATTCAACAGATGTTAATTAATTTTGCTTAGATAACACAAAGGGCCAATAGAGATACCACCATCTTCAGTTACTTATTTGGGAATACAGGAAATATGTAGCAACTAGGAGAAAAAAATGATCAAAAGTGCAAAATACCTACCTGGCCTATATGATATTTGCCATAAATTGCTATCAGATTTCAAATTAAATACAAGTAAAATACTCCTGTTGCCAAAATATCAAATGTTACTAACAGAGAAACAAATCCATTACTTAAATAATTTGAACTAAAGGGATTAAGTGGGAAGCCAGGATATTCTATTAAATAAATGATCCTGATCCATCACGAGCAAACATAATTGCAAAAATATGTTTTAACTCTGGTCTTCTCTACCAATTTTGCAGCTCTCAAACTAAATTTGTAGACATAAAGTCTGGGTGACTAGGAGATTATTAAATACAAGGCATTTTTGCTCTTCAAGTAGTTAAATCTTATCTCCTAAACTATAATTAGGATTTGTTGTCTACATATACAAAATAAATATCTAACTTATTAGTAAACTACTTGATTACCAAGAGACACTGCCACTCATATTAAAATGACTAAAGATGAGTGTCACATCAGTAATAAACATCAAATGCAAGATGTTTCTCCTTAACATACTTTCCTGATTTCTCTCCACCCTAAAATAAGAACTCATTCATTCTTCCTATCAATAAAGTATCTTCCATTCAAACTAGTCATTCCCTAAAACTAAGGGACGTATATTTCTATGTACAAGTATAAAAATAAAAATACCATCATTTTTCTTGCACTGTTTATTATAATTTCTCCCCAATCTCTATTGTTACAATGCAAGATCAAGCTCTAAATGAAGTTGGTGATGTAAACACAATTATGGATCAATGACACTAACGTATTGTTAACAAGCTGTAATTATTTCAATGGCTAGAGGTGCAATTCATTGTTTAGTACATTAAATGATAAACTCAATGCTTTATATTCTTTTGCCACAGGCAAGAGATAAAATTTATCCAGGACATTGAAATTTCCTTTTAAAATCATTATTTTAATTTCAAAAGAAAACCTAATGACATTAAAATCATTCTAAAATTAATAAAATGCAATAGTTTGTTTGACAACAGGGATTAGAAAATACTAGTATATTGATCATTCTGTAACATGTTTAAGGTGACTAAAAAAAATAAAACAAATGTTACAAGAGCAGACAACTCTTGTGACATTAAAAAGTCATGATCAGTCTTGCACTCCTACAAAGCCAATGAAAAGCAAAAAGTGAGAATTTTGTTAATAGGCAAAAGTGCTCAGTCAAGCATCAAAATACCTTAAAAAACCAATGAGGGATTTGTGAGTAACATTTATTTTCATGGAATTCCAAATTCTTGAAAAAACTAAATTTGCAAATAAGCAAATTTATGTTACAAAATAAAAAAGAAAGTAGGCATGAGTTCTGTGAGCCTGGATATTTTCTTAGTAACAAAATCCAGTTCTTCATGTGTAAAATAGAAACAGTAGTACCTACCTCATGTGGCAGTAGTAAGAATTAAATTAGTACATTTATAGCTTTCACATTACCTGGCATATACAAAGACCCCAATAAACGTTATTTAGCTATTATTCCCATATAACAATAACCAAAGTACATGGAGATCTACAAACTAAACTTACTAATCAAAATAATTTACATTCCAGTAGCAACAAGACCTCTGAAAAATCCATTGGATAAATTGGGTCAATTATTTAAAGACACTTTCTGCTTTAAAGAGAATTTAATCTTGCATTAAAATAAGATCAGTACAGAAAACTGAGTAGGGTTCAGATATCAAAGCCCTACTACACATCTCTCCGGTAACTTGTGAATTATGGCAGACATACAGAAAAGATGATAGTTTGATCTAGAATTCCATCATCAAACAGACCTAGATCTTTTGTGTATTTTGCATAGAGGCTTCAAGCTTATTCTACGAGCAGGTAGGAGAATTTTTCCACTCTGCTGTTCATAGTTCAGATCTCCTTTTTAAAGAAAATTGTTTGTTCTAATAAAATTCCCGAAAGCAAAAGTAAAGGTTTCTATAAAAGGTACTAATAGCTATCTCTTAAAATCCCTAAATACTCTACATCCAGAAATTTAAGAACATAAAATTGAGCAAGGAGGTCTCCTCTTTAAAATCTAATTCATTAAATTTGCTCCAAAATCACTGGATGTTGTAAAATAAAGTAAGTTAGCTGAAATGCAAGCAAGCGAAGTTGTCAGTTGAAATGCGATTCATTACTGAATTCGGTTTACAAGGGGCTCCCCTAAAATAAGCATAAGCAATCTCCTTACCTCTACTTCCCAGCAACTCCCATTTTTAATAGCAACAAAAAATGTGGGGGACAAGGAAGAGTACAAGGAAAAAGAAATTATTAATGATTCTTAATTTTAAAAGTAGATAGCTCTAGGGGCGCCTGGGTGGCTCAGTCGTTGAGCATCTGCCTTCAGCTCAGGTCATGATCCCGGGGTCCTGGGATCGAGACCCACATCGGGCGCCCTGCTCGGCGGGAAGCCTGCTTCTCCCTCTCCCACTCCCCCTGCTTGTGTTCCCTCTCTCGCTATCTCTCTCTCAGTCAAATAAATAAAATCTTAAAAAAAAAAAGTAGATGGCTCTAATAATGCCACAATAAATTAATGTTAACTTATATCACTTTAAAACTCAAATACTTATTACAAAACCAATGGGACCAAAGAGATAAAATAACGATGAGGGGCAGAAATTGATCCTTCCCATCATGTAATTAAGATTCTTGGTGCTTATGACTTGATTTCAGTCTTCTTTGTGCTGGTCTTTAAATTTGAAAACACTTAATAGTGAACTCACATTAAGTTGTCTTATTACCAAAAGTAGCTTGAATCCTCAATAGGATTACAATATATTATTAAGTCTGGGTCCTAAATACAGTGGGCATAAAAACTAACTATAAAGTTATTTGAAAAACACCAGCCAACTGTTGATCTCTCAGAGAATAAGATCAATTATGGTAACTAAGAAAAAGAATCATCTAAGGTTTTATACTCAAATGAAATCTTCCCCACTGTCCCTGTATTAGTTTAAAATCTGACCACATGTACATGTTATGAGACTGAAAGCTCTAGTTTCTTATCCCTTTTTCCTCTTTACTCAAAGTTTTAGTTTTCACATACTAAAAATAGATAATGCATTAAAATTTCTATTTTAATAATGAATTTAACTTTTGTTTTCCAATTAGACCTAAACCACTAGTTAACAAATAATGTTTAACAGAAATGATACACCATAAATCAACTATTTATTGAGCATCCACTATATGCCAGGCAATTAATCTCTTTAAAATGAGACATGAGATCAATAATTGTACAACATTAGGAAAGTTTTCATTTCTGCCCTCACTATCCCCATCAAAACCTAACAAAAAAGCCCAGAACTTCACCTTTTGCAGGACCTAGTAGCCATTATACAATGAAGTTTAAGTACTAATTAGAAGCAAAGTTATCATCTAAAAATCTACATTCCCCAATGTGATTCTAAAATATTTATTAAACAGCTAGGATGTAATAATCATACCTAAAAAGTTCTGTCAATAATAAATAAATCCTTTGTAGAATTCATCCAAATTCATTTCTACTCTCTTCCCACTTTTTCTCATGTTGGGGATTAGAATAACTATTCCACAGGGGTAGTAACCAAGTCTTCTAAAATCAAAGCATAACCTCAGCGTGAAAAGAACTTTTTGTTGGGCCTTCAGGTGTAAGGAAATTTCAGAATTACTTTATTTCTAAAAATTGTTACATTGAAATCCATTAAAAAGTATGTTCTATTACCAAAAGACAGCCCAAAGGCTTCCGAGAGCTACATAGGAAGGATTAAGCTGACCCGAGCGATGGCTCTAGGACAAGGACATAAGCTTTCTCTACAGAACAAGGTGGTAAATACTTCAGGGTTTGTGACCATTAGCTACAACCACTCTCAACTCTGCAGCTATAGTGGGAAAGGAAACACAGACAATGTGTAAATAAAAGGGCATAGCTGTGTTCCAATAAAACTTTATCTACAAACGTAGGGAGGAGTTTACCAACACCCCGATCTAGGGTGAAATGCTGGAAGTAGGTTCAAATATAGGTTACCTTGCATTCTGTCAGAGAGTTTAAGAAAGAAAATAACAGGTTGGAGTAAACAAAATTTTAATCAACTTCACACACACCTAACCAGGGTTTTTTTTTGTACTGCTTTGAGCTTCATTAAATCCCTTTATGTTTCTACAACTCTGACTCAATTATTCAAATTTCCAAATTCATTCAAAATTTAAAAACATGATTAAACATGAAAATTAAATAAAACTTACTAAATGCTTCCACCAACATCTACTACGTTGTACAGGCCCTTTAGAGAATTCAGTCTCTGGATTCACATTTCTGCAGGAAAAAGAATACAATTTTATGCATAGAAAAAGATAAAAGGAGACTACTAAAATGCCATGATTTATTCCAAAACTTCAAAATAAGGATCATCCACCAGAAGACCAAGACATGTATGTATTTATGAACAATACAGTCCAAGCAGAAGGTAAGTTCTTAACCCCGAGGATTTTAAATCTGGCTGTGTAAGAGGCTCACCTGCAGAATAAGTTACTATAAAAACCATGCATAAGTCTCAGTCCCCAAGAACTCCATCAGAGTAGATAAAATCTCGTCTCTCTAGATTTAATGCACAATCAAGGTGTAGAGCTAGTTGTTCAACAGAGCCCAACATCACTTTTTTTTTTTTAAGACTTTATTTGACAGAGAGAGAGAACACAAGCAGGGGGAGCTGCAGAGGGATAGGGAAAAGCAGGCTCCCCACTGAGCCAGGACCCTGGGATCATGACCTGAGCCAAAAGCAGCCACTTAACCAACTGAGCCACCCAGGCGCCCCTCCAACATCACTTCTTAACAGTACAGAATTATCTTAATTTCTGGTCATTCATCTAATCCACTTTCAAGACTTTTTTTTTTTTAATTTATTTGAGGGAGATAGCAAGAAGAGAGCATAAGTGGGGAGGAGAGGGAGAAGCAGGCTCCCCGCTGAGCAGGGAACCCCACATGGGGCTCAATCCCAGGACCCTGAGATCATGACCTGAGCCGAGGGCAGCCATTTAACCAACTGAGCCACCCAGGTACCCCCCACTTTCAAGACTTCTATTCCATTACCCACTTGCAGGGCCATGTTTCTCACTCATTTATTATCCATCATATTATTTCACATCATGCACTTTAATAAACTATTTTAAGATAAACAAAGGAAATTTCAGACAAAATTTCAAACTACTTTTATTACCAACTGTACAGACCTACTCAAGCAACACTAACCCTTTTTTAAAATACATAGTTGATAACAAAAGTATCATATCCATGCTGTTCACTAGTTAGACGGAAATGCCCCATAAACTAAACATGGAAAATGTTTCTATTTCAAATGCCCTCTGAATAAAGGTATGTATTTTTTCAGTCACTCTGCTCTTAAGTATGATTATAACAACAACATGTAGAGCTATCAAAAAACTGTTTTAAGATCAATATTAAAGTGTAGTAATTTGGGGTGCCTGGATGGCTCAGTCAGTTAAGCATCTGCCTCCCACTCAGGTCTTGATCCCAGGGTCCTGGGATTGAACCCTGCATCGTACTCCCTGCTCAGCAGGTCTCCTTCTCCCTCTCCCCCTCCCCCTGCTTGTGCTTTCTCTCTAATAAATAAATAAAATCTTAAAAAAGTGTAGCAATTTAAGGATACTTAGCACAATAAATATTTTATTTATTTGACAGAGAGAGAGATAGGGAAAGCAGGAACACAAGCCAGCAGAGTTGGAGAGGGAGAAGCAGGCTTCCCGCAGAGCAGGGAGCCCAATGTGGGGCTCAGTCCTAGGACCCTGGGATCATGACCTGAGCCCAAGGCAGACACTTAATGGCTGAGCCACCCAAGCAACCCAGGGATAGTTAGCACAATAGTTTAGGATTTAAGTTACCTACTCAAATGCTGTTCCAAGACTAAAATTTAAAATTTTCAAATTGTAAGGCAAATTCCTGATTATACTACAAAATCTAAATCCCTTTAGTCATTTTGACTAATCATAATCAAGAAATACAGCAAAGATTTGCTTCAAAATTACCTTTAAGAGTTAAGATGCTAAAATATCCTCCCACCAAGTTAACAAATGAAACAATTTACATGAAACAGCATTATTTTTACCTTTAAAAGCTTCCAAATTTAATCTGACCTTAATAGGGAATATAGTTTGTTAACAAAACAAGTATTAAATCAACCAAATGAACTCAACTGACTTAACTCCTAAGAGAACGGCGGAATTGACTTTCATTGGTAAAAGAAATGTCAGGGAAATCCTTCACAATGGTCTGACAATGTGATTAAAAAGCTACCTGTAAGTAAGAGTATGGGCCTTGGATCTCACTTTGCCCCACTTCAAAAATTACTGACACCAATGTAATCTACCATACCATCTCCTTCCCCAAAACTGAGAAAGTAGTACTCTGCGTTCCTCTAAAAAGGGTGGGGAAGAGCCAAGTTTGGCTTAAGCAGACTATAAAATTTGGTAATTTTGCTCATATTCCTACCTATCTTTAATAGTTTGCAATATTATAGATTCTCATTTAATATAAAATTATAGGTATAATGTACATTTTGACTGCTGGTCCTTTTGTATTAAAAGGCAAAGACTATTAGCCCATTTGTGCTTTTCTTAAAATATAGATTTTGTCAACTTTAACCTGTTAAAGTCCTTAATTACATTTAAGAATAAAATCTGAGAGCACTTTGAAATAAATACATGAAATCTTCCACAAAAATAAGGTAGCAATAAAGTCATTAACATTCATAAGTCAACTCAGAAACCATTAAAGTTAAGCAAACTATCTTCACCATCTAAATTAAAATAATTATGATTACTATGTAGTACACATTAAGGGTATAAATTGTTTGGGAAATATTCATTATCAAATAAATAGCTTAATTTCAAAAAGCAAAGGATTGTTTTCCAAAACACAGATCTAACTTGTACAATGTACAAATCAAAACTTCTTCCAGTTGTAGGAAACATGCCACTTGAATGTTACGAAAACAATCAAGTCATATAGTTTTTATTTATAAACTTCAGAACATCCTTGAATTTAAATTGTAAAGGTTAATTACATTCCGAAATAACAGCCAATTTGAAAATTAGAAGTTTGTTTTGAGCCACTCAACCCAGAAGGGGAAAGTAGCTGGTAAAATGAGAGTATTTATCTTTGAAGCATAAAAATTTCTTAAAGGAAATTAAATCAATTATGTCAAGTATGTAAATGATAAATCCTCATTTATAACTGTGATAGCCAGATGCAAATGTTACACTGAATACACTAAATTTTAAGTATATTTAAAAATCATTAGGGGGAAAAAATCCAACATTTTATTGCAGCATTCTAAATTTCACTTGTTTAAATACAATTTCATACCTTAACTATTTTTTAAAATCAACCTTCCAACATCTGCATTTATATTAATATTTTGGAATGCATACCATCATGAAAGTCGGGTACAGTGTATCACCCGGGTCTCATGTTATTCAAATCCATGTCTTCACAGAAACAGCATACATAATTTCTAATGCAAAAATTACAAAAACTACTCTCCAGTTTGTATAAAAGAGTAAGATACTCCTTACTATTATTTTTAATCACACAATTAAGGACTAAAAGTATCTTAAGAGATTAGAAACTCCAAATACTTTCTATGGGTTAGGACACTAAGGTCTACAGTGAATGTCAGGATTACAGGGCTAGTCTACATTTAGAAGTTCCTCTCCTGATTGCTGAATCACAGTTGTATTCTCCACTCTATCACATACACCTCTCATTACTGAAGATGGAGATGTTCTCTTAGTATCTTTTCCCCCTTATGTCTCTCAACAAAAATATCTCGGGGGAGAAAAAGTGTATTAATTGGTTGTCCAGTCCAAATTTTTAAATAATCAAAGAACTACAAATACCACTTAATTCAACTTGAAAGAAAATTTATATTCAAAGTTATCTATATCATATAATATAGCCGCTAAGTGTCATACCATAGTTCATGAAAACCTTGTAATTAACTACGGGCATGGCTGCTTTCATTTCTGTGGAATTTCAGGTACTTTTTAAAATAGTACCATAGTAACAAAGGCCATGAAACCTAGTCACCAATTCAATAGGTGATTTTTATGATTTAAAAGTTCCTTCAAAATGCCAAAATAAAAACAAGTATTTAAGTGTCACTTTGGTTCTCAAGCAAAATATGGTAGTAAATGTTACTTTTTTAATGAAATTTGGTAATTTAAAATAGTTTCACATTTATATTTGCCCTCACGTGTCCATTACTTTTGTCCATCAAATATATTGCCCATTTTTACAAGCCTGGCCCAAGCAGCAAATACCAGAACACTGAACGTAAGCATCATCATGAAAGTTGAAGTATACGTAAGACCTTTTTAAAGTGTGATTTGCTATAATCCTTTATCTTATTGGTGATAAAAGGGAAGCTGTACTCCATTAGATTGGGGATTAATTTAGAAATTACTGTATCATTTAGTTTTTTTTTATATTTATTGATACTGTAGTAAAAATATAAAAATAAAATCATCATGTAACATTTCTAACCTTCAACCATTCATTTTTTATTTTAATGGGTCAAACTGCACCATCGGTAGCCCATTATAAATTTACTGCTGATTTAAACTTAAAATCACATTATATTTCACATACATTTGTGTCTAAGAGGCCCAATTCTCAATTTTTATAACAGTGCCCAACCACATCTGAATACTAATCTAATATCCTATCATCTCCATACAAGAAACCCTAACGTTGGCATTTGTGTTAAAGGTTAAGATGAAAAATGCTTGATTTTTTTTTGTATGATGTTAGATCTTTAAAAACACTATACTTAAATCTTAACATTTAGTTTTCTTTTGCATACTAAAATAAACACAAATTTGATCAAACTGCAAAATGAATAAAAAGAATTAAGGTAAAACAAATACAATAAAAATATTACCTTTATCACCTACTTCAATGAATACAATAAGCCAACACCAAGAGATAAAAGATTTTCCACATTTCAAGGACAAAGATAAACTTGCCTTCATATTACTTATTTGGCTATTCTTACAATTTCCCAAGATATCTCTTACTATATATACATATTTCCTCTGCTAAATCCCTAACATCAGCTTGACAGTAATTTCCACGTTCAGTGTTAACACATAAAGAACATTTCTTGAAAATTATCAGCAGACGTGTTTTTTTTCATTCACGTATCTAGTTTTAAGGTGTCAAAGTACCCCATACATGTTGAAAATTATTTCTTCCTTTTATGCTTTAAAAACAGTTTTACTAAGCTATAGATTATAGATGCTTTATTCTAGTTTCCTGTGAGATAACTCATTTTAGTACCTGTTTGAAAACAAAATCAAAAATAGGTAAAATGAATGTATTAAATCTATTAGTAGGAACTAAATTATGAAAAGTGTCTTCACTTTTAAAAATATAGTTCTTTTAAGAACTGGAAGATCAGCAAATGCAAAATTCTAGGGCATTTCAAAAACATGATCTATATCATCAAAAAAAAATGGCTAAAGAATTTCAGATTATAAAGACATGATTCTGATAACTCAACTACTGATTTAACCATAATCCTGAAGCAGCATATTACTAAAAAGTACTGAATGTCTTACTGCTCTGATATAAATTATGTATATCAAATGTTTTAATAAAATACAAAAGTGCTTTGATTTAAAGTAAAGGAATTTGATGGACTTTTTCCTCATCTCCTTTTTGAGACAATCTACATTTTCTGTTTCATTGACAAACTTAAGTTATTTTCCTACTCAAATGTTGGTAGCTATTAAATTTAAGATGTTGGATAAAACATTTACTTACTTGCTATATAAAATAGAGACTTCTGCAAACATTTCCTTTATACTCAAGGATAAAACTCCATGGGTCTCAGTCTTCAAAATGGCATACCTTTTGGGGGGGGGGGGGGAAACACACACCAATATTCTAAACAATTTATTGATGGAACAACAAATAGCAAGTAGGAATGTTTTACAACTTTTACTATGTAATTGAAAACAAAAGCTAAAGTCTATGCTCACAAAACTTGATTTTTAAAATGTTCTTCCCTAAAATCTATGAATACTAACTAGTTCAAATTTTCCAATAAATTCATTTCTTTAAATACTTAAAAAATTAGTTTGCACAGTACACTAGAGAATTAAAAAGAAAAAATGTATCTCTGGTTCATTGTTTTTCTCAAAATATAATCAGTCTTTTCTTGATCCCAAAATTAAACAAAGGCTTAAGAGACATTCAGTATTTTAAACTATTCAAAAGGCACATTAAGTTACAATGGCTAAGCACATATACTCTTCATTCAATGGAGAGGTTTAAAGGCTTTGTAAAATTATTTCAGATATTTAGTTTACTCATAATCACTAACTTACTGGAAATATAAATTATCAAAGAGCAAAATAAAAACCAAATAGGCTTATTTTTATGTGAGAAAGTAATAAAAATTTACCCAGTCTTACCTCAAATAAAAGAGCTGTATTTGTTCAGAACCATCATCAACCAAATTTAATTTTAATCTTGTAAGTTACCTTAAAAAAAAAAAAGATGATATCAATGTTTTGATTTTTAAACATTTCTTGGCCAAAGTTTCAGTGTGATGAAACAATGAGAAAATATTCCAAATACATGATCTATGGACAAATTTAGGGACGGCTTATCGACACACCACCTTTACATTTATAAGGTTGCAGTTATTTCTTATCTCAATAATACATCAATCTTTGTTTTCCTCATCTTTGAATGGCATGGACAAACACTAGATATTAAGGCACTGATATTAAATAAACTACAGAAAATTCACATCTTCAGACAGATTTAGGACTATAACCTTGTTTTTTATTTTTCTTTTGATGCCAGGCAATACACAAAACAAAGGAAAAGTTTACCGTTTTTAAACACTAAAATCATCTTAAAATTTCCATTACCATCTAGAAATAGCTTTTACACTTAGAAACAATTAAAAATTAACTTCCTCTAGGAGAAATTAGTGAAGTTAAAATGGCTACTGGTTACTTTAAATTTTTAAACCACAAGTTATTTGATCTCACCAAGTGGGATATTAGCTTTGTCTTTTAAGCAAGTCTAAAACATGTAGTATCTATGACCTTTATTCAATTTCAAACCAGGGTCTTGAACATTTTCAGTCTCTCCCTTCCCCCATTGCTCTCGTAAAAAGATCTTATGAGGTTAAACTGCTAGCAATTATTTTGCATTTCACTATTCAAAATAGGAGCCAGAAAAAATAGATTCAGAATATACATTTAAAACTACTTTCAGTGTTCACAAATTTCAAAAATGTTGTTTTGAAAAACCAAAATTGGTACTCAAGATTCTGTAAAATCAAGATATGCGCAACTGATGTAACATGTAGCACTATATGAATGCTATTCAGAACATAAAACAATTTCACTGACAAAAATACCTTCAGAAATACGGTGATTACACCAATAACTTTGATTTTCTAGGTACTACGTAAATCTGCCCACTATTTTTACGTAGATCTGCACCTTTACAACACAAGAGCTACCGCAGAATAAAGACAAATATATTCTAAAATACACAAAGATTTGAGCATTTGTGGTTTGTTCTTCAAAGCATTCAATTTAAATCCCCTCTCAATTTTTTAAACTCACAACTATACAGGACTCTGCAAATTTTTGAGAAAGCAATATTTATTATTAAAATACGGTTCCGTTTTAAGCATATCTAGATTTTTATGCATGCAACAAATGCAACAAATATGGCTCCTCTTCATCGCCCATTACCGAGAACAGTCCTACTTTAATATTTACACTACGAGAAAGTAACTTCACAAAGAGATTTGGCGTCAGAATATTCCTTTGTAAAAGTTTTGTCGACCATGGCTTGTGCTAACATACATTATTTTTAAAAATAATAAAATGATGAACTTCAACTTTTAGAAGTCCAGGAACTGATCCAAGTACGTTCTAACATTCAGGTGTGGTACAGATAACGGCTCCTTATGACCTTTTAAAAAGTACCAGTGTATTTAATCATTGTTCAAACATCAGAATGTCAACTAATCTTGGCGTAATTTGTCGCTAAAATAAACTATCTTAATCAAACGTCATCGTCTAGCATCGAAATTAAAGCCTATTTCCATTAAACAGCCTTGACGGTATAGTAAACTTATCTTCGTAATTTCTGAAATACCAGCGGCACTTCTCCAACTTGCATTTTTAAAAGACAACCTTAACGTCATAAAGGTTTTAATAAGCAGCAAGTACCTTCAAGTACCTTCTCATCTGTAACACTGCAGCCGTTTTCAAAATCGGCTTTGAAAGAGTTAAAAGCCAACACCCAAAAGGGAAAAAAAAAAAAAAAAAAAACAAGTTTTATTTTTGTTTAAACCTAGTCAGGCTTCCATTGTTCTTCTAAATTCGACCATGAAGATGAGCTCCCACCTCGCCGGAAAGAGGTTAAAAAGCTCCCCCGTTGGAGAACCTGAAAGGGATTTCTTTTTTCCTTACCCTAAATATCAAAATAACTCACCCGGACAGAAAGGGGCTCTCCTCGCGCGGTCGCCTTCGGGCTCCCGCCTGCGGTCACCCGCCGCCGCCCCTTTCCCGGCCGGGCCGCTGCGGGTAGCGAGGCCGCCCCCCGTGGGGTCTGCCGCGGGGCCCCGCGCGCCCCCCGGCCCCGACCCCGCGGCGCCCGGCGCTTCCCGCCCGGAGAGCCAGCAGGCGACGCCGGCGGGGCCGCTCGGGGAGGGCCGGCCGGCGAGGCGAGGCCCGGCCCGCCGCCCCCTCCTGCTCGCGCGCTCAAGGACATTTTGCTTTTCCTCCCAAGGACAAAGGACAATAAAAGGAGCCGGGGAGCCACTCACCGGGTCCGAGCGCGGCTGTCGGCACCTCCTGGTCGCCCGCACCCGCGTTCCGCGCCAGGCCGCCCGCCCGAGCCTCCCGCCCGCTCCGGGTCGAGCCGCCGGGGGCCCGGGGAGCCTCCCCGGCCGCTGCCGCAGCGGCGCTTTCGGCGTCGTGGGCCCGGCCGCCCCGGGAGCCTCTGCCGCGGGCTCCGACACCGGCGCGCGACCCATCTCGCCTCAGCCGCGGCCGCTTCGCTCCCGCGGGCCTGCGGGCCGCCCGGGCGCAGCTTCCCGCCGGCCGGCGGGCCCCGCGGCCGCGGCGGAGCGCCTGACAGCTTGGGGTGCTGCTGCCTCTCCGGCCATCTTGTGCCGTGTGTGTGTGGTGTCTCTCTCCCGTCTCCTCTCTCGGCTTTACTCCCTCCTCCTCCTCCCCCCCGCCCCACACACCACACAACATGGCCTCTTCGCTGCGGCGGCGGCTGCGGCGGCAGCAGCAGCTCCGCCGCGCTCCTGCCCGCTCCCCTCCCCCACCCTCCCCGCCTCCCGCCCGCAGCCCCATGTCCCAGCGCGCACGCGCGCCACCGCCCGCCCGCCTCAGCCATTGGCTCCGCGAGCTTCCTGCCACCCCTTCCCGGGAACAGCCTCACGCACGCTCGCAGGCGTCTTCCTCCCTCCTAACAACAACTACTTCGATACTATTGGCTGATTCTGATCCCACCCCTTCAGCTGCCGCCGTGCGGATAGGCTGACTTTAGTGCCACTCACTCCCTTTAGGGGTTTCTGGTTTTCTTGAGGGGCACGAGCCCGCGATTGGCTGGTGATAGAATCTTTGGGTTTGGAGCTGGGCTGTTGCTTTGCGCCCCGCAGTGCGGACCCCTCCAGGCTGGCTTGTGAGGGGCGGGGTGCGGGGGGGGCTTCCTGGCGCCGGATAGGCCAGGTTAAAATCATTAGTACAGAGACCTAGAGGTAAGGACTTCACTTCTGGAAGAAGCTCGGAATTCAGTGTTTCTGAGCTCAGATTTTTGTTTTCTTTTTTTAGAAAAAGGAAAATGACTGACAGGTTGACGAGCAAACAAGCCATATCTCCTCAGCTGTAGGACTGAAGGTTTTTCTTCTAACCAACCGGTCCTTCCCTGAGGGTCGCAAAGTCAGGACCAGGGGTTTTACAACCAAGGGCATCCCCCTAGCCCAGTATCCAAATTGGCTTGCCATTTACTTGAGGGTTGGTAAAATTCCTGTTACCATTCACGTGAGACAGCCTATTCATATGTCCAGTGTCCTTTGAATTTAGTGAATCAGTGTTTCATAATTCTGGTTGGGCCCGATACTACCCTTTTGGGCAGTATTTGTTTAAAGGGGTAGTTTTAACCTGAACGATCACAGTCTGCCCGTACAGCCTTCTCCCAGAGAATGGGGCAAAACAAACTTTATTTGCTTTAAGAAAATCTCACTTTTTTTCACTAGGTCTTCCAACTTTAATCTGGAAGCAATCTAGACAATCAATAGGAATAACTGAAAACCCAAACTTTCCTGAAATGAAAAAGTGGCTTTCTCCCACTGCCAGCATTTTAGAAATCTTGCTTCTTTTGGCAAGGGACCTCGGGAAAAGGAAAGGAACACTAGAGGCTCTTAGTTTTAACAGATTTCTTTGAGAGGCTGGTTCTTGGGGCAACTCTTGAATTCCCTTGAGACCCTGCCCCTGGGTTAGACTCAGAGTATGTTAAATACTCATCAGGCCTAGAAACTAGCTCTGGCCCTTCTTTTAAAAATGGTACAGCTATTAACTGGCTTGGCTCAATATGGCATCAGGTACTTAGGGCAGAGCGAAGACTAGAACCTAAGTCTCCTGACTTACAGATCTTGGGTTCCCTCTATGCAACCTGGCCACGCCCCTTAGCAATATAGGTTGAGCTCTAAGTGGCACACAGGAAAGAGTGCTTCTTTAACTGAAATTAGATTTTCTCCGTTTAATATCCAAGAGACATTCCCTTATACAGTCTAGCTTTAGCACTATAGACCTGCAGCAAGACTTTTTTTCTCTGAAATAGTCCCACCCTGAACCCTTTTTCTTCATGCTTCTTGGTGTGTTATCGCTGTGCTATCATTCACTCCCCTTTTCCATTCTTACCACTACCTGAAATCCATCTGTGATTCTGCTTTTCCATATTCTTTACCAAGTACTCGGTGCCAGCAAAGCAGACCTGAACAGGCCTTTATTAAAAATAGTAATGGCTGGGGGCGCCTGGGTGGCTCAGTTGTTTAAGAGTCTGCCTTCGGCTCAGGTCATGATCCCAGGGTCTTGCAATCAAGCCCCAGGTCAGGCTCCCTGCTCAGTGGGGAGTCTGCTTCTCCTTCTCCCTCTGTCCCTCGCCCTGCTCATGTGCTCTCTCACTCTCCCTCTCTGTCTCTCATATAAATAAATAATCTTATTTAAAAAAAAAAAACAGTAATGGCTGAAAAGCATTGAGTTAGCTATGTGTCAGGCATTGTTCTAAGCCCTCATGGTAGGTTAACTCAGCATCCCTATGAGAGACTATTATTATTTCTCTGTATTATCTTTATTAGGAAACTGAGGCGCAAGGAGTTTAACTTGCCCAGGCTCACACTGCTAAGATGCACCAGAACCAGGATTGAGCCCAGGTGCTCTGGCTCTAGACCCATACCCTTTTGCCTCTCCCAGGTTCTTTTTGAAGACTGCCCCCTTGCCAGATGGGCTCAGTAGATCCTCTGTCATGCGGAGCTGTCTGATTTGCCAGCTGCCCCATCCCCTACTTCATTGAAATGTTCCACCTTCAGAACTGGGCTTCTCTTCCATTGGGAAATGTCAGATCCCTTCTATCTTAATTCCGAGATGTGGACCCCATGCTGCTACTGTCAATTTCCTGGCCTGCCACCTGGGAATCCTTTAGCTCTTGTTTTAGTCCATCTTTGATAGTGGACCCCTACAGCTCAACTGTGGGGTGACTCCCTTTTATGAAGATACACCTTGGGTGGCTTACATAAAACAGCTTGCTTCTCCGAGGCTTGCATCCCACACGACATCCTCTTCAGAGAAAGCCCTCATCTGCCACATTGAAACTTTATTCCCTGCCACACATGTCAATCATGATTTCTTTTGCCATATCTTTACCAGGTCTTTAGCCATCCCTCGTTAAAGCTAGACCAGGTCTGTCCTAAATTAAAAGCGCCTGACCCGGGAGGACCCCATCCTATCCCCTGCACCGTTCCTTTTCGTGCAAAGTGATCTGCCAGTGAACAGAGAGGAGCTCCCTCCCTCCCTCCCCCAGTCACACTGGCTCCTATTACTGCTGTTTCTTTACAGGCTAAAATACAGAGCCCTTCACCTTGGCTCACTTAAAGGAAAGACCTCTGCGTGTGCTCTGAGTAGTTCTGGTCCTATATAATTGTGACCAAATGAAAACATGGATGGACAGAGAATATTTCCGTAAGGATACAAAGATCTGTTTACACTGGTCGCCTCCAAGGAGACCTCAGAGATAGAGAATGGGGTGGGAATGTCACTTTTCCCTTTCGACCCATTGGTGACTTTTGAAATTGAGCCATGTGAATGTATTACTTTTTTGAAAGAAAGAAAAGGAAAGAACAAAATTCAAATAATCTGCTGAGCTAAAAATTGACACTATTAAGAAGGTAACTTTTTTTTAACTTTTTAATTGTGACATCTGCATTTGTTATAATAAACACTTTTTTTTTTCATGAAATAAAGGTCACCTAACACTCAGTACCTCCAGGGATGGGAACAGCACCTAAAATGTCCCTGGTTGATGATAAGGATTCTTGGTACATAAAATGGGGGCAGCAGCTTTCAATCTCAGTGTAACATGGCCTCACACACTACAGAACAGGGCTTCTCACCATGCCCCCTGCGCCCTCCTGTCTTCATGTGGCAATTAAAGAGGAAGAGACACCAGTGAGGTCAGCTTTTCTCCATTTTCCGTCCTCCGTGTCCACTTTGGCCTGGGGTGTCTCAGAGGATCAGCCTAGCTCATGATGGAGACTCAACAGAAACCCAGGATGTCCTTGACTCAAGTCAGAGACACAGTTTTCAAATACAGACCTTTCCAGATTCCTGTAGGTCTGCTCGCACTCTCCCTGCAGTTTCCCTTGCTGCTTATATTCTGCATGATTTACATGCAGATTCTGTCTTACTTCTGTACACACCCCACTCCCTCTTCCCATGTGGCAGTCTTTCTTTCTTTTTCGCAGGGTACTTCACACATGGCATTGACGTTCATTTGATACTCAAAATATCATTTCCAAGCACAGTTAGAATAATGTGCTCAATAATGAGCTTCTTCCATGTTTGAAGTACTGTTTTATAAGCTGGGGATGCCGGGGTACCTGTTCTCATGGAGCTTACATTCTAATGGGGTAGAAGTCCATAAATAAGAAAATACCAGGTAGTGATAAGTGCTATAGGGGGCTTAATTTCAGATGAGTGGTCAAGAAAGGCCTCTCAGAAGAGGTAATATTTAAATTGAAGCAGGAAGCACACAAAGGAGGCGGCTATGTGTATAACTGCATGTGAGTTTCAGGCAAAGATGGCAGATGGTATGCATACAACTAATTTTGCTCCAACCCAAAACTGCTCGAGACAGATTTTTTTAATTCTTTCTTTCTTTCTTTCTTTCTTTCTTTCTTTCTTTCTTTCTTTCTTTCTTTCTTTTCTTTTCTTTTCTTTTTTCTTTTCTTTCTTCTTTTTATTTTTAAGTCCTGAACCCATAAGGAAAGGAGAACAGGAGAAGAGAAAAGAACAACACAATTTCAGAAGCTGGAAAGTAGATGGACGAGTGGTAACTGATTTAGCAGATCTGAGAAAGCTGAGCTGCAACTGGCTTATACTGGAAATACCTCAAAAGGCTCAGAAACTCCCAGAACCAGGGATCATTGGGCCTGAGGGGAGAGGAGAAGGCTAAAATAAGAAATGAGTGAAAGCAATTTGAAAAGCAGTTGGATCCCACATCCCATCCCTGATCCCAGCAGAAGATTGGAGGTTTATCCTCCAGGGAGAGTCTCTGGTCTAGGAGATGCCAGGCACACTGAGGGCATAGGAACCACAGCAGAAATGGGGGGATCCAGAGGCCAGATATACACCAAAGGCAGAGACTCCAACTATCTTGCACCACTTGGATCTCAGAATGCTGGCGATCGGTGATCTTCACCTTCTAGATAAGAGACTGGAAAACACTTCTCAAGGAATCTAATCAGTCTATGAGGAAAGACCCATGGAGTCTGACACTGGGGGATCTACCAACAGATCCAACCAGGTCACCCTTCAGTGACGCTCAGAGGGCCAGACACCTTGTGTGCACCACTTCTAATCCTCTTGGTCTCACCTCTTACTCTGCCCACAGGTGTAGCCACTGTCCCATCAGGTTCCACACAGCTTCCCAGACCAAGTGCAATGGTTAAGTTCATGTGTCAACCTGACCAGGC